ACCCTTTAATTAGGCTAATCAAACTCTCAATTAACCTAATTCCTTGTTAGCCAAGTTATCCTAAACTAGGTCCATCTTTCTCAAGCAGAGGCTAAGTCAAAAAGGCATGAATCCATATTTGCAACCTTTAATTCTAAATTGAAGCATGAAGTAAGCTAAATAATCAACAACCAATCGTAAACAAGCATTAAATTAAATACCCATAAGGTTTACACACTAGAAGTGGGTCACAGCCCTAGTAAGAATCTAGCTACTCATAGTGAGAATTGAAGAAAATAAAGAAGAAATGCTAATTAAACTCATAATCAAAGATTAAAATGATAAAATATAATATTTAAACACTAAAATAATCACAAACTTCCTAAAATGGCAAAATGTAACGGCTACAGCAGCTCAAACTTCGAAACCTGACCTAAAAATGTAAAACTTATCTATTTGTAGTGGCCCAAAATTCACTGACAAAAATGCCCCTCGGGAGGTTCTACGGCCGCACAATTCCATGTGCGGTCCGCATATTTCTTCAGAGGCAGGAGCTTAGATTCTGCAGCTGCACATTTCTGGATTGAAGCATCTTCTGTGGCCGCACAATTCTTGTGTGGTCCGCACTTCAACAAGGCTTCAAGTATTGGTCTTTTGCACACTCTCTGAACGTTGAATCATTTGTCAGTTCAACTCTTGTTTGCAGCCACACAATTCATGTGCGGTCCGCACATTGGCCAAAGACTTGCTGGGTTCTTTCACTTGGTTTGCGGCCGCAGATGGAATTCTACGGTCCGCACTTTTTTGATTCTACGCCCTTTATTGCCTTGAGATTCAGAACACTTCTTTTTGAGTCCGATTTCATCATGGGAGACCAAACTTCCAACATTCCTTCAATTTGCACACTTTCATTAGTTTTGGGAACATAAATCAATACTTTCGGACTAAAACAAAAGTTGCTAATAAGTAGTCAAAATTCCCACTTATCAGAACCTCATCACACCTTTCATGGGTGAAACCCGAGGCAATACCCTCTCTCCAACCATGAATGCAACATCACGAACTCTCCGATCGGCATAACTCTTCTGCCTAGACTGAGTTGTGCGAAGTCTATCCTGAATTATCTTACATTTTCCAAAGCTTCCTGAACCAAATCGGTACCCAACAACAGAGTCTCTCCCGGATCAAACCAACCAACTAGCGAACGGCACCGCCTCCCGTATAATGACTCATAGGAAACAATATGAATACTCGAATGGTAGTTATTGTTGTAGGCAAACTCTACAAGCGTCAAGAATTGATCCCAAGAACCCCTGAAATCCGTAACGCAGGCGCGAAACATATCCTCCAATATTTGTATGGTGAGCTCGGACTGACCATCCGCTTGGGGGTGGAATGTTGTACTCAACTCAACCCGTGTGCCTAACTCAATACGGCCCTTCAGAAGTGCGATGTGATTTGTGTACCCTGATCAGAAATGATGGACAACGGCACACCACACCGCGAAGACGAACAATCTTGCGGATATAGATCTCAGCCAACCGCTCTGAAGAATAGGTAACTGCTACTGGAATGAAATGTGCCGACTTGTCAACCTATCCACAATGACCCATACTGTGTCAAATTTCTTCGAAGTCCATGGGAGCCCAACAACAAAATCTATGGTAATACGCTCCCACTTCCACTCAGGAATCTCAAACTTCTGAAGCAAATCGCCATGCCTTTGATGCTCGTACTTTACTTGCTGATAATTCAAGCACTGATCCACGTGTGCAACTATATCCTTCTTCAATCTTCTCCACCAATAATGTTGCCGCAAATCCTGATGCATCTTGGCGGCACCCGGATGTATGGAATATCGTGAACTGTGGGCCTCCTCAAGAATCAACTCACTAAACCCGTCCACATGGGGCACACAAATTCGACCCTGCATTCGCAACACCCTATCATCTCTGATAGTAACCTTCTTGGAACCACTGTGCCGTGCTGTGTCTTTAAGGACAAGCAAATGGGGGTCGTCACACTGACGCTCTCTGATGCGTCCATACAAAGAAGACCGAGAGATTGTGCAAGCTAGAACACGACTGGGCTCCGAAATATCTAACCCCACGAACTGATTGGTCAAGGTCTGAACATGTGATGCAAGCGGTCTCTCACCAACCGAAAAAAAAAATACAGATTGCGCAAGCAAATCGAGAAACGCTAAACGGATCTATTCGAAGTCTCGAAACATAGAAATGAAGGCTAAAACTCAAAATGACCTATCTGGTCATCACAATTATTTTGCAACTTCTTCTTGAAGTAGTATACTATAGTGCTATATTAAATCCTACTTTTATCAAAAGCAGGATTACAGTTATGTCTTGGGTTTAGTGTCTTCACTTTACAACCCTCACTACCCTTGTCGCTGGATATAAGATATTTAAATGGGTAGCCATCTACACACTTATAACTCACTCTAATTTTGTCACTTTTTAACAGCTCTTATTTCTTTTGATTAACCAATGAATAAAGGTTCATGAACTTTCTAGCTTCAGGAATATCCTTGAAAGACATGCCTTTATGAATCTCTTTGTATTCATTGAGGTTTTCACTAGGATGATTTTTCCTTTGTGCCTCAAATTGTCTAACTCTTCAGAGTCATAGGCAAAGCCATCAAAAACTGCTTCATCTTCACTACTATTATCATCAGTACCAACTAACACTGGAGATATATAAGCCTCAGTAAGGTTAAAACTGTTTGAGACACAAACGCTTTCTTCACACTCATCTACAACATAGATATTTAGTACCTTAAATTCCTCACAGACAAGGAATAAAAGGTGTCTAATCCTTATATGTCCTTCAACTTCATAATACTTACCAGATGGGCCAGCAATTATTAATTGTTGTACCCCTATATATCCTAACTGAAGAATGTATTCATCTACTATATCTTTAAAAGACAATAGGTCAGAATGTTTATCTTTCCAAATGTGGAGCAACTTTTTTGAATAGACTAGGTATGTCTCTATAATCCAATCACCCCCATAACTGAAAACTAGGTCCACAAGAACCATCTACAAACATAAAATAATGTAAAAACTTTATGACCATAAAGTAATATTTTATACAAAATGGACCCCATTTGATAAAGAAATCAGAAATCAAGCAATAAAGAATGGAAAAAAAATAGTGATGGCTGCTCTTCAATAAAGAATGCAAAATATTACAATAAAATATTATAAACTACCACATTCTAATGTGCTTAATCACATGCATAAGGGATATTTGGACCCCATTCAATCATACACGACAAAAACACACAGCTCAAAGCAATAACTTCACTATTAAAAAATAAAATAATACATCTGTTGTAGGCCTTACCAATAAACTAAACATATAAAATACTAGAAACATTAAAGCCTAGTAGAACATTAGAAATCAGAAATTAAGGGACCACCTGAAAAGATGCACATGCACGAGAAAATAACAACAAATCAACAAACAGCAGAGGTGTAGAAGCATGTAACTATGTATAAGAACAAACATATGCACATTTACCGGGAAAGAAAAAACCCTAGCTCGAAACATTATGTAGAAACACACATTCATCAACAAAATTAGCAGAAATACCACAAGACTAAGTTGAATCAAAAAAACTTTGAAGAAAGAACTCACCTTTTTGAATGTGTCGAGTCTTGGATCTGAAATTTTATCACTGCCGAAAACGCTAGATGAAACCCGTCCCGTTCTTTTTTCCTTTTCTCAATTTTGATCTTTTGATTATGTGTTTTTATGGTGGGTTTTAATATTGTTAACTTAGTTGGTTGGATTTATTTAGTCGGGCGGGGCAAGGAAATTGGGGTGGGGTGTGTTTATTTAGTCAAGTGGACTATTTCTGTCTTTCATAGAGTGCCACGTGTCCCAGCTGTTAAAATAGGGACACATATACTACTTTGTTGGATGGTAAAGACTTTCAGGGACGGAAAGTATAACGGGGGATGCTATTGAACAATATATCATAGTAGAGGGACATATCAGGCCCTCTATAAATAAAATAAGAATGTAAACTTTAAATTATTTTTAAAATTAAAAAGATGATACTATTTTTGGATCAAATTAAAAAGAATATACGGTCACATAAATTGGAATAGAGGAAGTTGTTGCTTTAAGAATCTCATTTCGCTTTTATGTAAATAGATTTATAAAGTAGCATAGCTAGGTAAAAATCTCATAGTATTTTTCTGTGTAGAAATGATACCGGGTAGCTAGTCTAAAGGGCTGCTATTTAAAAATTAGCCAGTGCGTCCTAAATTTCAGTTTTAGGTCAATTTTTCAGGACATAAAATGTCCTGAATTATTGTAAAATTAAGATTTTTAATTTAAAATTTTAAGATGAAATAAGTATGGCTCTCTAATTAGCATTCCTGAAGTGCACTATAAAAATGACACCAGTTAGCCACTTCGAAGAGCTGCTATTTAGAAATTAGCAAATGCGTCCTAAATTTCAGTTTTCCAGTTCAATTTTTCAGGACAAAAATGCCCTAAAGTTAAGATTTTTAGTTTAAAATTTCAGGACAAAATAAGTGATGGCTAATCTTTAAATAGCATCCCTGAGAATGACTATTTTCCCCATTTTTTGGGTCAAGAATCTCGAAAAAATGATACTGTCTAACCGCTATAAAAATAATAGCTGAAAAATTGTATAAAATTTATATTATANTATACAAATAATATATAAATTTTATCTACTTTTTTGACTACCAAATATAAATAATTTTTGGCGCGGGCTAAAACTGATAATACTCCAAGAATCTCTACTCTCCAGCAACTCCAAACGGGCTTAGTGGTAAGATACTGTATTTGCATGGGCCGGCCTAATAGAAGATGAGGTATTCAGTGGCCCAATATATCAATCCATGGCCCAGTTTAGACCATTCGGCTAAAGCTGACAACATAACACGTGGCCACAAGAAAATAATCACGTGACCATCACGTGCATAATATTGATGATTAGGCTGCAAGATAAATAAGCAAGTGCTAAAGAGTAAAAATTCAGGTGAAAAATAAAACCAAATTTCACACTCACTCTCTAACCCGCGAGTATACGAGGAGGTACGCTTCTTTTACGAGCTTCTATAATTTTTGCGATATCGTTTCATATTTATTCATTATTGATGCCCATATACTTCTCGAGTAAGTAGGCAAATTTGCTATAGTTTTTCCTTATCCTGTAAACCATTTTTTTTCTTGATCGTGTAGAGTATTTTTTTTCCCTTTTTATCATTAAATTATCACTTTTCATTGTGTTTGGTTTAATTTCCGAATTTTTGAGATGGGTTATGAAAATTTGTATTCTTTAAAGTCTCTTTGAATTGTTCAAGGAAGTTCTGGAATTAAATTTTCTAATTTGGATCAGGGGTTTCTCATATGATGTGAATCTTGAGTGTTGGGAAATGTTTTATTTTTTTCTTGGAATAATAGACGATTTTATTTTAGTTTATTTGGATTAATTATTGTAGTTGAGTGTGTTAATTGTACTGTTATGGATGAGAAATGGGATAATGGTATTTTGCTAGTAAGCATGTAATAAATAGTACAAGGTGGAAAATAGGTTATGAGGATAGTGTATTGGTGGTAATTTGGAGTATTAAGTGTTGAAAAGGAAATTAATGTGGAGTAACCTTTTATCTTTAAACGCATTTTCAGTAATTCAAGGTAAAAGACAAAGAGAAAAGGATTTCGTCAAGGAAGCCATTTATATGGGAAAATATATTTCAACATGCCAAATGAACGTAAAAGGAAGAGGAAGAACAGAACATATGTATTTTTATTTGGTTGAAACTGATAATAAACTATAATATGAAATAGATAGAGTTGGATGTTGCAAAGTAGGAGGATTATTATAAGCAAATTATAATTATGCTTTTGCTGATTTTTTGGAGTTAAGAAAATGTGAAAGCAAATATTTCATCCTAGGTCTGCTCAATGCATTTCAAGCATCTTTGAAGATCTTGATGCTCTATGTGCACTATCTGTAGCTTAGTTGTATGACCAAGTCCTCTTACTAAAAGGCGTGACGAAAACATTTTCTAGATCCTCTCAAAATTGAGGGAACAGTGTAGTTAGAAGTTTGTTACCAAAGCATGTTAGCTAAAGTATATTCTTTCCTTTGATCATTTATAAGCAAAAAAATATGATTTTAGCTGCACCCAAGGGTGTGGCCTAATGGTCATGAAGTGTGTGTGGAGGGGAGGAGGGGGGGGGGGGGGAATGAGGTAGTGAAGACAAAAAAATACTTGGTGATTTCTTCCCATCTAAGCCTTGGTGGGTAGAGTTACCCGATACCTATGCTGGTAGGAGATACCAGATATCCAGTAGAATTAATCGAGGTGCGTGCAAGCTGGCCCGGCCACCACCTTTACAAAAGAATATGGTCGTTAGCTTTCTTATTTCAAAGTGTCTGACATGGTCTAGTAGTCAATTAAGTGGGTTGAGTACTATGAGGTCTCAGGTTCAATTTCCAGTCGAGATAAAACACTAGGTGATTTGTTCTCATCTGTTCTAGCCTTGGTGGACAGAGTTACTTGGTTTTTGTTGCTGGTGGGAGATGACAGGTATCCTATGGAATTAGTCGAGGTGCGCGCAAGCTGGCCCGGACACCACAGTTATCAAAAACAATAAGAAAAGTCTCTGACATGGCCTTTAGCTATATTCATAACCATAATGGGATGCCTTAATGGTTTGTTTATTTGGTTTCTGCATGGAGCTCCATCGTCACAGTCTTAGCTCTGTGGTTATCATTTATTCTTTTGGCTCTCGTAAATTGTTATTTGATGGTTCAAGGTGTTTTGGAATGATAGTAATTGAGAACTCTCAATTTTTCTTAAGTGTTCAGCCATATCTTTTCTTTTGGTGTCTGCTTTTATTTTGTTGATAAGTAACGCGTATCCATTTGCTACTTATGCTTTTGTACTTCTTTGTTTGGTGTTCTTTCTTCTTCATTTCCTTCAAATAAATGAGACTTTCTTTTGCTTCTATTATGCAAGTTGCTCTTCCTCTGCGGCCTTTCAATTCTGGGCTTCTTTTTTGCTTATCCCTTCTACTCTCTTAGTTCAATTACTAAAGTAACCAAATATAAAATTGAGTGCTGCAAATTAATCATTTTATGGTTGAGTGATTGAAAATGAAGATTAATTTTATGATTGAAATTATCTTTCGATGGCCTTGTTGAAATTCCCACGGTGTGGGATAATGCTGGGTATGTTGTTGTTGTTGGCCTTGTTGAAATTATATTTTAATGATATTTCTTTGAGGAGTTGGATTAATATTGTCATCACTGTATATTGGATGCTGATATTTCAGTTGTGTTTTGATTATTAAATGTACTAAAAGTCTAAAACCATATATGTTTGTTAGTAATTTTTTAATCTTTGCTGAACTGTGCGCTTAATTCAAATCAGCGTGTGCTTCGCTTCTTGCTTTTTACCTCCAAGTTTTGTCGACCTTCTTATTTAAAGATATTGGTACCGGTTCATTTTTCAGGTTCAAAAATCCGGTTTGACTAATGGATGCTGACACAGAGAATAATGGATCTGCTTCCATAGAAGGTGTTAATGTCAATGAAGTGGAGGTAGAATCAAATACTGTTGACTCTCTTGAGGTTTTGTCATCCAGTGGTGATGTCATGCAAGAAGTAGAAAGTGGGGAGATGTTAACAAGGCTTGAACTAGAATTAGCATGTTTCTCTGAGAAACTAGTTAACTTAGATATACTTGTGATGCATGTGGCAACAAGAGAAAGTGATTTTGAGGCTTTTTCCTCCGAGAAGGAGCATACTTCAAATGAAATCGTTGAGAAGGCAATAGAGTTTGATCTTTTATCTGGGGTACTGGATTCAGAGGTGAAGGAACTCGGTGATTTGTTATCCTCTGTTGCAATGGAGATTGACAATGTGCGGAAGATCATTTCTTCATGTGGGCGTGTGGATGAAACTTTCGTTTTAATAGAAGAGAAGTTACATGACAGTGAAAAATCCCTCAAGCAGTCACAGGACCATCTTTTAGAATTAAGGGCACAATGTACCAACTTCCATGGTATTGTCCTCACCTCAATGGGAGATCAAAATTGTGAGTTTATTTTTGTTTTACATTCTGTTATCAGACAAAAAAGGATTTCTTTACATCCTGCATAACGCCGAATAGCTTCTGAAGCTTCAGTTAAGGAAGTCTTGATTTGTGCTGCTCAAAATTCACTGTGGTCAGTCCATTTCAAAGCGATCAAAGATGGGCTTTGGCAGAACCAATGCAAAGTGAATGGATCTCTGGAGCTAAGATCCGACTTAAATGATCTTTCTGATGGATGCCTGTTGTTATTGTCATAATTGTCGTGGTCGTCGTCATCATCATCATCATTATTGATGTGCTATTGTTGTAGTTATTATTACTACTATTAGTATTGTCATATACAAAATCCTCTTGATAAGTGGATGCCCTGTTAATTTCTTGTTGATTATAATGTTTTATGCTCTATGCAATTTTACTTATCCCAACAACCTCACGGAAGCCGACCATACTGTAAAATCATAATGGAGAAAGGAAAGAAAAATGTCTGGAAATAGTTAATAATTTTTTCTTTTTGCTCTGCATGTCTGAACTAGAATTAAGTTGATTGCTGCTCTTTGTATAAGTACATATTGCTGCTATAATGCGCTTGAAAACAAGTACCATCATTGGTTTTTAATCCTAGTTCATGCTGATGCAATTTGACAGGGCAAGGTGGCAAGACAGTGGAACACTTCAATGGGGATTCACTTTTGACTCCAAAGACAAAGATAAAAATGCAGACCGTTGAACAGCAGAGACACATTCTGCGGATGCTGGAGAAGTCTTTGGCCAGAGAGTTAGATCTTGAGAAAAAGCTTACTGAATCTAGACAAGTTGAAGAAGAATTAAACGTCAGATTGCAGCAAGAAACTTTCTGCATGGAGGAAGAAATTGAAGCTGCTTGGCAAAGGTTGTTTGAGGGAGAGAATGCTGCTGAAGTCTTGTTAGGAATTTCGAAAGAACTATTGGGTCGACTCCAGATAGCACACTTTAATCTGAACGGTACGGTTCAGAGAGAAAGCAACTTACAATCTAAGCTTCAAGAAGTGGACGAAAATTTAAAAACAAAAGACAACTTACTGCGGAAGTCTGAAATCACCTGTAAAGAGCACGGGGACAAGGTTAAATTTCTTGAACAACGATTGGAGGACTCTGAGTTTCAGCTGTCCAATTATACATCATCTGCAAAGAAAAATCTGGAGTTGGAATCTGAGTGCAAATTATTAAAAGAAGCTAATGTGGAACTTGACAAAGAGCTGAACCTCCTAAAAAGCAGTAGTAGCATTAAATCTGAGAGGATAAATCTACTAGAGAGGCAGTTGAGGGATTCTGAGCTTCGTCTTCAGCATGCAGTTGCATCTGCTGAAGCTAGTCAAGAGAAGCAAATCATGTTTAATGCTACAATAAATGACATGGAAAATCTGATTGAGGATCTAAAATCAAAGGTTTCAAAAGCAGAAAGTTTGATGGAGAGTGCTGAAGATAAGTGCATTATCTTATCAGAATCTAACTCAGATCTCAATGAAGAATTAACTTTTGCAAGGGGAAGGATTGCATGTTTGGAAGCATCGTTATGCCAAGCTGAGGAAACGAAGAAGGCTACTGCCCGAGATATTAACTTCCGCAGTAAATTGATAACTGATTTGATTATGCAATTGGCTCTTGAAAGGGAGAGACTTGAAAAGCAGGTTTGTCACTCGCTATTGACTCTCATTCCTGTTAAGGCTGGAAATATCTAACATTTGTGACTTCACTTTTCCTCCACTCTATCCAGTTACTTTGAGTTCTTTTTTTTTTTTTTTTTTTTGTCTAATTGACATGGTCAATGGGCCTAAATGCAGGTCAGGACTATGACTAATTGAATACTAGTTACTAATCTGAAACATCAAGAATTATGTCTTCTTGCTCCAATGAGATGGCTTCTCTACAACATTAACATTTTGTGTCAAAGATAGATTTTTATTCATGGACGTGGACTTCGAACCTTTAACAACGTCATAAATTTAATGTCTCCTAAAAAATTTCAGTTGTCTGTGCAATCTTGTTTATATAATTCGTGCATCACTTCTTGATGAAAGAGAATTCATTTGGAATAAAAGTTAGAATAAGGGAATTGTTTAAAGATAATTTTATTTTGGGGACGGAATTGTATAATTTTCTCATTCAGATTAGTGTTTTTGTTGCAAAAATATTCAGATAGCTTTGCTGATATTGGAAAATAAGGCCCAGAAGAAGCATTTTCAGCAGAAGGATAAAGTTCCTTCTTTGTCTCCACGAAGTGATGGCAAAGATACCAAGGAATCCGTGCTTCCCAAGGCCGAGTTAATTTCTGTAACTTCTTCAGATGAAAGCAAGGAAGAAAAAATCAAGAATTTGTCACCAACTAGTGTGGTACGTGGTTTATTTGGTCTTATGCTTATTTTCATATGCGAATCATATGGTCTTCTGTTTAGTTTAGTATAGTATTTTGATTTACTGATGTTGATGGCAATTAACTATTCGCATCTGATGCCGTACATCCCATTATCAACCAAATAACCTTAGATGTGCCTCTAACTGAAAAAAACGCATGCTTACTCCAAACTAATTCCCAATATATTTGAACCGACTATTTTGACTAGGTTATAAAGAAAAGGTACCTAGCTCCATTGTGACACTGCTGTTTCGGTTGTTCATTTTCAGGATGAGAATATTGCTGGAGACCTTTTGATGAGCGAGTCAAAAGAGGAAATTACTGATTCGTCGTCCGGACTTGATGCCTCGAGGGACATAGATGCGCGGAAGCTTAATTTCAAGTATGCCCTTACAGCAGTTCTCGTGTTTTTCATATCGGCAATGGTAGCTGTTTTAGTGCAGCATCAGAGTAGCCAGTTTTGATAGCGCTGGAGATTTTTGTTACTCAATCAAGAGATCCCAGGCTTTAGGTGCTTCTCAGAAATCTTTTTGGTCTTACCTTCATCGCGTCTCCCCTCACTACTTGTCACTGGTAGATATCACTATATAGAGCGACACCTTTGCGCATCCAGTTCATTATGATGAGAGTAATTTTGAAGCCCAAAAGAGAACATCAGGCTTTCCCCCCCTCTTTGTGACTATAAATAGCAGTTTCTTACGTATGCATAGTTTTTCAATTCAGATTTTGTCAACTCCACAAATTGGCTTTCATGTAGAATTTTGGAACTGGCGCTCAGCCATCCAAGAGAAAGATACAGAAGAAGCGAAATGTCTATGGCCTTCATTTCCATCTATGCATGGAAACTTCTCAGGCTCTCATGCTTTTACTTTTCCAATCATCTCTTTCTACTTTGCAAGCAAAATTTGTTAATGCCAACTAAGAGATGAAGGCGAGTAGATTCTACTTACAGTTTTATTAGTAGTCCAGAAAACCGTACACACATTTAAGGGCATCTTCTTTCTTGTTTCTTGCCAAGTGCTAAGATCATTTCTTTACGTAGTTATTCCACAGGTCCACGTTTCTCATCTCTGCAACTTCTTTCCAGATTCCTGCCAGCAGCATAGCTATTCGCTAGCAGCAAATAGATACACTTGTGCCTTAATCACAAACAGATCAGGATCGGCTATATTAAAATTTTGGCCAAATACATAACACCGGAACTTGGCACCGATTTTCACATGGACACGCAAAGTTTGGCGTTTTCCTATCATGCACGCGAACATCTTCCCATGTGTGCCAATTAAACGCAAAATGCTGACTTGTAATATAGCTTGACTTTAAACAAAAATAGGTGCGGATTGATTTTTTTGCTGGAGGATTCCAACGGTAAAAAAGCGAATCCTTTATAATCCCTTCCCCAAACCTGAAAATCTATCATATTTTTCCCCCCAAAAAACCCTAGGTCGTCTCTAACGTAGGAGATCGAAGATCCAAGCTGAAATTTCTCAATATCTTTCTCTTGTTTCATACCAGTAACTAAAGGCTCCAACAAGTAAATTATTTTCTTCTGTTTCTTTCTTCTTTTTCTCTTTATTGCCAGTGGATTTTCTTCTGTTTCTTCTTCCTTTTTTCTTTAGTGACTCGATAATTGGCAATGGATTCGTCTGGTTCAATTTCGCAAAGGACAATGAATTCGCTTAATGGACCGATTATTTGTCACTGTGGGATCAATGCTCTATTGAAAACATCATGGTCAGAGAGAAACCCAGGTCGTCGACTTTATCGTTGCAGAATTGACAAAGTAAGCACATGAATTTATCATCGTTGTTGAATTGTTCTTCATTAGTTGTTGAGTTTACAAATTGTATCTTTTTTTGGTCTGTTTTTTGCAGGAGAAACGTGGATGCAAATTTTTTATGTGGTATGAACCTCAATTTCCAGATCGAGCTACAAGGGTGATATGGGAGTTGTTGAAGAAGGTCAAAAAGAATGATGCAACTGAACTTAAATACTAAAAGGTGGAAAAAATATTGCTTGGTGTTAGTTATGATATTTATATTGTGGGTTTGGAACGATATTACTGGTTGATCATATTAGCTGCAATAACAACACATTATATTCGGTATCACTGGTTGTAATTGGGACATAAATTGTACCCAAATTTTGGACAATGTATTCAATCAATGATAAAGGTATTTTTGGGTGTACTTTACATTGCTTATACTATTTGACTGATGCAAGATTTGTATAGATGGTCTCCGATGCCAACACAAGACCAAAATACAATGTATAAAGGTTGACAGTAAGATCATATAATATTGGGAGAAATTCAAAAATATTCAGATTTACAAGTGGTCATTCAAAAATAGCCACAGTTTCAAAAGTACTCGAAATTTGGCCACTTTTCATGTAAAGATAAATCTGAACGAAAATAATGTTCAAAATCCGAAAAAGTACTCCAGTATATTATATTGGAACTTTCCGCGTGTTGGAGTTCCAGCATAATATGCTGGAAGTTCATACACAGGTGCACCGATCTCCAGTATATTATGCTGGAACTTTTCGTGTTGCAGCAAAATAGTGGCTATTTTTCAATGACTTTGCAAATGCTGTCTATTTTTGAATGATCACTCCGAAAACTGGCTAGCCCGTGCTATTTTTACTATAATATTGGCCAAATGAAAACTTATATATATATAAGACCAAGCTCATAAAGAGCTACAAAATTAGTTGTTCTTGATGCCAATGTAGGACCAAAATACAAGATCTAAAGCATAGGCTGTCCTTGAAGCCAATATAAGTACTAAACCAAAAGGCTAATCATGTAGCCACCAATACAATACCAAAAGGCCATACCAAAATAAAGTTATTTTTTAAGAAGTCATTACTACATGTCCAAATAATTAACTAAATAAGCACCTAAATCATATTAAACAATGAAGTTACTTGGTTCCACTCCTGTGGCTTGACAGAAAAGATGAGGATGTGCCTTCTTGACTGGAAGTCTTTGTATTCCTGGATGCACTCATCCGCTGGAGTTGGTTAGTTGTTACTGCTTGTCTACGTTTCCATTTTAGACCAGGCGGCTTAAATCCAATATCTATATTGGTTTCAGCCGTATTCTTTAGAGATCTCCCATGTGATATCACTCTTTCAGATGGATTACCAGGCTGAAAAATATCAGATATTATTCACAGTTAATATGAAATATAAATAACATTTGCTTTAAATAATTGTTGCTTACATTCAGAATTGTTGATCCACTCACAGTGTTTGTATATATCACAAATCCTGCAAGTCTTGGCCTCTTTTGTCCAATGTTCGAGGATGTACCTTCTTGACTGGTTTCAGATCCTCTTCCTCTAGAAGCAGCTGTTTGGAATGCTCCCTTTCTTAAGCCAATACCTCTCCCTCTTCCCCTTCCCCTGCCTACGCTAGTTGATTGTGTTGGATTACATATGGTGACAGCAGTTGTATCATCACAAATTGAAGATTGAGCAGGCTGTCTTTGCTGTCTTGACTGTCTTGGCTGAGTTGGCTACCCCATAGCAGGCTGCAATGTTAACAGCAAAAAAATGATTGAGTATTAAATTGTAAACTACTATTAAACTTAATTGAACAACAGATTACCTCTGTTTTGTAGGCTCTCTTGTTGTGCCCTACTTGATGACATTTTGAACATGTCATCTTCACCCCTTTCTTAGAAAGTTTACCATACTTTGCCTTTTTGGACACATACTTTGCCTTTCCTCTACACCTTTTTGGTCTACATGGCATTTGTTTTGGCTCTGAGGCTCAATAGCTGGATTATTAGACTCTGGCCACATCTTCGTATTGGGCATGGGTTGAAGAAAATACTTGTAAGCCTTTAGGAATGTTTCTTTTCTATACTAAAATACGACATGTTGTTCTGGCTCTTGTTCTAGGTGATAGTATGAAAAAACAACATGTTGACATGGTATTCCTCTCAACATCCATGATCTACAAGTGCAAGTCTTTGCCACCAGATTAACAATAAACTTCTTATCACCTTCTTCAATCTCAAAACCATCTTGTCCATTAAATGTTACTTTACATCTCCTAGACAATTCCTTGTTCTCCTTTAAAACCATTCTTGTCATTGGTGAAATGTCACTTATCCAAGTCTCAGCAAAGTTCCTCATGTCATTATTTTATGTCTAATTTCTTCCAACATTGTTATAATTGACTTATGCCTAGGTCCAACTATCCAAGAGTTAAAAGTTTCACACATATTGTTCTCAACAACATCACATTTAGAAGTTTGACTAAAGTAATAGCCCGTTTGGCCAAGCTGCAAAAATCAGCTTATTTTAAGAAGTGCTTTTTTTCAAAAGTGCTTTTCTCAAAAGTACTTTTGGTGAGAAGCAGTTTGTGTTTGGCTAATTAGTTTGAAAAGCACTTCTGAGCAGCAATTAGTGTTTGGCCAAGCTTAAAAAATTACTTCTAAGTGTATTTTTCTCAAAAGTGCTTCTCAAAAAAGTGCTTTTGGAGAGAAGCTACTTTTTTCTGCTTCTCCAAAACTGCTTCTGCTTCTCCTCAAAAGCACTTTTTTCCTTCCAAAAGCTTGGCCAAACACCTCAATTTTTGGCCAAAAGTGCTTTTGACAAAAAAAAAAAAGCACTTTTGTCCAAAAAGAAGCTTGGCCAAATAGGCTATAAGCCTTGCATCAATATTCTTTATTGTACTTCAATAAGTCTTCACACAGTTTAGGACCACCAAGTAAACCCTAAGCATGTAACTCTTCCATGAACTTTACCTCATATGTTGATTTGGCACATCTTCAGAATTGTTTTCTTCTTTCTTCACCTCTCCAGTTTTGAGCCTAGTTGGACCAAATATGTCTTGCACACATGCTATATTCAGCAAATGGTAGTAACTCTGCAATTATTGGGACAATTTCCTGTAATAACAAGTAAAAACAGACCTAAAAATGAATGAAGTAGGAGTAAATGAAATAAAACAACAATTTAAAAATAGAAATACATCACCTTTTGCATGTCTGATTTCAGTGCTAAGCCAATTCCATCTTCCATATCCAAATCTGGTTTCAACAAGTTAAACCATGTCCAAGAATGCTTGGTCTCTTGGTCCACCACAGCCCATGCTATGGGAAACATATGCTGATTTCCATTCTTTCAAATTGCTACCAATAATTCACCATTGCATGCTCCTTTTAAAAAGTAGCCATCAAATCCAATAATCTTCCTACATCCTTTTAACCAATCCTTCTTCAAGGTATCAAAACAAATGTAAAAATATACAAATAAATTCTTTCCAGGTACAGTATTTGTATCTGTTCTGATCCAGCAAGTACTCCCAGGATTAGTCTCCTTGATAATATCAGCATAATCACACAACCTTGCAAATTCCATCATCTCCCCCATGAACTCTTGTATTACCCTACACTTAGCCCTATAACAAACAGTTCTTCCAACATACAAACCGATTTTGTCTCTGATATGATCTTGTAACTCTCACAATTTTATACCAGGTGTGGATATGATTTTTTCTCTAAATTTGTGAGCAATATATTTAGATGTGCACAACCTATTCTTGGTGTACTTGTTGCATTTTTGTTGTGGATGGTACCTCTTCATAATGAAGTCACCAGAATCTCTATCTTTGCTTGCATACAGTGCCCATTTGCATCTGCCAGTTCTGCACTTCACAAGTACTCTATGTCTCTCATTTGGTTTCAATTTCAGCTGCACCTTATACTCAAAAGCATAATTAGCCACTGCCTTCCTAAACTCTATAGCATTTTCAAACACCATCCCAAGTTCAAAAACAGTTACTTCACATTATCATGTCTAACCTTTTTGCTTCTTCTTCTAGCTGGTAAATCAACACCCTTTTCAGCTTCAACATCTAACTCATCCTCAGAATCATCACTTCCAAGGTCTGAACTACCAAGATAGTCCTCATCCCCACCTAAGTTCCCT